TTGCGATGGGGGGTTCGCTACGGGTCGCGAATAGTTTTTGTGACGTTGCCGGTACCAATATTCGCTTTCTTTCCTATCAAGTAATGGGCCTTCCTTGCAAGCTTCACATACCTGGGCATGTTGGGGTTACCAGTTGAGCTCTTCTTTTTTTTGATGGCGTTGTACTTGTTCCTAATGGATTTCTTGGTCCTCTCATAGTAGGGCCAGTCTACGGCATGCTTGGTGACAACAGTATTCCACTGTTCTGAGTCGATGGGGAGTATCACCACTATCAACTCCATGAGGCTCTCCAGCTCTACATCAGAGTAGTTCACAGTACCAGTTCGACGCCCATTGCTGCCGCTGGGGTTGGCGTTGGGATTGTTGTTTGCTTCCATCTTGAGTGTAGTAGTAAAAATGGCACGAGGGATCGGAGGAGCCTCCTCCTCTTCCTCTCTTTGTTGATGCAACAAAGAGAGGTAGTAATAGAATGTAGTGACTATAAAGACTGATTGTCGGGACATTGTTTATGGTCATGGTTAGCTGAGGAGGCACCTTTTGTTTAAGAGAGGCGCCATGGTGGTCTACTACTAGAGAGGCGCCTTCTTGGTTCTTGTTTAGAATAACAGAGTTATAATTTTGTTGAAACGAGTCTTAATTTCGGCGGTTTTTCCTGTTGAGTCTTTCAACGGACTCAAAATTTTTATTCGTGGGTTCCACTCTAAATCTAGAGATTTAGAACCGGTCAAAGCGGCCGGTCCTAAATGTGCTGAATCTAGAGTCAAAAACTCTAAATTCTGATGGACTGACAGACCAAAAATTTAGAGATCTAGAATAACGGGAATCACCCCATATCGTATCATATCAGCGTCCTCTGTACTTTTGTTCGGAACGTTACTGTAATGTACAAACAGTTCTAACCGGTTCGCGCAAGGTTAGGTCGCAGCGACGGAAGAAAACCAAAAAGTAAGAATTTTCCCCCTAAATTCCAATTTTTGGAACTCTACATTCCTTCAAAATTCTTCAAATCTGTTTTTGTTCACAATATAACAAAGGAACTTGGCATCGATATGGTAATTTTCGCTGACCTTCTTTCTTCAACAAATAGTAAAATTCTTTGAATTTCTGACGATACGATTCCGTATTCTACTCGGTCTGGGCTTTTTTTGTCGAACAGAATTTCAGAATTTAAAAGTGCCGCAGATTGACCAATGCCTACCGGTACGGTGCGTAAATACGTATGTACTTGTGCGCATTGAAAAAAAAACAAAACAAGAATGATCTTGATCGAAAAATCGGAAAGCACAAAACACGCTTTGGTGGCATTTTCTACAACCATCACTTTTCGGCATCAGACATTGTCTCCATTCCCATAAGAAAGACAGCAACAATGAGCAGCACAACGAAAAATCTTAATGAGAGCTTCACAGTCCGCTCAGACAAGTGCAAGTACACCGACGAAGCCATTATCTCGGATTTCAAGTAAGTTTATGTACTCTTATCGAAGACCCTGTTTGAACAGTGTGTCGGCGTCGTCTTTGTTTCGTCGTTCCCGTTCTATCCACCATGCAGCATTATTATAAAGTGTTGACGTCCATGCTTTGCCGTCTTGGAACATAATTTTTCTTCGCAACCACAAAAATCACAGAAGCTCATATTATTTCTTTCCCGGTATTTAAAGGTATGAGAGCACCCTTGTCGAAGGCAACGTTGTTGTTCCGGTGGAAACCAAGATGCAGTTCAAGACCGAGCGCACTGTACCAAAGGTTGGTGTTATGCTTATTGGCCTCGGCGGAAACAATGGATGGTAAGAATTGCGGTGAAAAAAGCTGGTGGTACATTGAATCATTGTTTATTTTTCAACAATCCTCACCAGGGTGTGTTTCCCGTTGTTTAACGTCTCGGATTTGGAATTTTTGATACGTTGCAAATTTTCTATTTGCTAGCACCTGTATCGCTGGCGCGCTAGCCAACAAGCACGGGATCACGTGGAATACCAAGGAAGGAGAGAAAAAAGCAAATTACTGGGGTTCTCTCATGATGTCCTCGACGGTAAAGCTCGGAAATGACGCGAAGGGCAATTCGGTCTTTACTCCCTTCAAAAATATGCTTCCTATGGTAGACCCGAGCGAGGTTGTATGGGGAGGATGGGATATCAACAAAATGAACCTTGGCGACGGCATGAAGCGGTCGAAAGTCTTGGATTATGATCTCCAGCAGAAGCTCTATCCTTACATGAAGGACATTGTTCCATTGCCGAGTGTCTACTTTCCCGACTTTATTGCAGCCAACCAGAGCGAGCGCGCCGACAATGTTTTGACCGGTACCAAACAAGAACAAATGGATCACATCCGAAAGGACATTTCCGATTTCAAAGCCAAACACGAACTCGACAAGGTCATCTTGTTGTGGACCGCTAACACCGAGAGATTCGCGTGCGTCGAGGAGGGAGTTAACGACACGGCAGAAAATATTTTGCATTCCATCCAGCGCGACGAAGCGGAAGTGAGTGCGTCTACCATTTTTGCGGTTGCGTCTATATTGGAGGGATGCACCTTCATCAATGGTTCTCCGCAAAATACATTCGTTCCCGGTGTCGTCGATTTGGCGCGTGAAAAGAAGGTGTTTATCGCCGGAGATGATTTCAAGAGTGGCCAAACAAAGATGAAGAGTGTCCTTGTTGACTTCTTGGTCAGTGCCGGAATTAAGCCTGTATCGATCGTGTCCTACAATCACTTGGGAAACAACGACGGAAAAAACCTTAGTGCTCCCTCGCAGTTCCGCAGCAAAGAAATATCCAAATCGAACGTTGTGGACGACATGGTAGAATCGAACCGCATCCTGTTTGAAGAAGACGAGCATCCGGATCACGTCGTTGTCATCAAGCACGTACCGTACGTTGGGGATTCGAAGCGTGCAATGGATGAGTACACGTCGGAGATTTTTATGGGAGGAAAGAACACCATTGCGATGCACAACACGTGCGAGGACTCTCTCCTTGCCACGCCACTGATTTATGATCTCGTAATTTTGGGCGAGCTTTGCGAACGAATCACCGTCAAAAAGGAAGGCGAGACCGACTGGGAACAATTCCACCCGGTTCTTTCCCTCCTGTCGTATATGCTGAAAGCTCCGCTGGTTCCGAACGGCGCCCCCGTTGTGAATGCCTTGTTCACACAGCGCGAAGCTATCAAGAACGTTATGAGAGCCTGCCTCGGACTCGGTCCAGAAAACCACATGACACTCGAGCACCGTTTCGAAAGCAGTTTGAAGAGTCTACAACAAAAGGCAGCCGCTTCTTCCGAACCACCAGAAAAGAAAGCCCGCATCGAATAAATTCGTAAATGGGTCGGTAGGGAAGTATGGTTTTTGACAAGAATTGGCCACTACTTTGTTTTTTATTCATTGTTTAGTTTTAATTACTTTTATTTTGAACTCATAAAAAGAATAGTAACAAGTACGTCTTTAGCTCATTGTTCAGTTCTGACTTCCTTATTTTTCAATCCGCCCTTACTCTAGATGCTTCCACTACAGTTGGGAGCAATGAATAGTTTCTGATGAAACCAACAGTCGTTTTTCTGCCTACGCCGATGCCGACGCAAACCCTACCGGCTCAATTTTGAGCTGGGTCTGTGCACGATACATGCTCGCGCGCCTGACGTTCGAAGCCCTGACTCTTCGCTGGATTCTGGCAGCCATGGCATGATCTAGAAGGGCTTCCTGTGTATTCTTCGCAACCTCGTGTGCTTTTATGTCTTCGTCCGTATCAATGGAAACACGCTTGCTGGACTTCTGTTTTGTCGACGTCGTAGTTGTTGATTTGGTGATTCGTTTGTCGGGCGAGGCAGCGTTTGTTCTACTTTTGAGGTACGCATTGAGCTTTTGCAAATATGGCTCTATCGTTTCCGCAGTCGTAGCCAGGGAAAACACCCATTCTGGAATGTCACCGACGCCTAGTTCGATTGCAAATTCGCGACTGAAGAATGCACAGTTTTTCCGGAATAGATTATAGGATCTTGCCAACCACTTCGGACGAAGTTCCGCCAATATACTCTGAATCTGCTGCCCATTGACTTCGCTATCGCCAAGGAACACCGATTCTCGATAACTGTGCATAGGGCATTGCTTAGGAGCGCATTGAAAAACCCCCGACACCTTTGATTTCTTGTCGACCGTTCCTCCAAATGAATATTCCTTTCCCTGGATCTCGATCGCGGCATGAAAGACTCCACCGTACCCGAGTGCTTTCGTTGTGTTGTTGACTGTTTGTATTCGCGGGTTGTTGGATACATCATACACATTCAACATAACGGGCGAGCATGAATATAAGGCCATCTTTCGAATGGCATAGCTCTGAACTCGAGGGAGTCCTGGGCCGGGCGAAATTCTCAAACAGGTTTCTTGTTCGTGCAGCTTTGCTTGTGTGGGTCGGGTCAGACGGATCTGAATACGGCCATTGTTGTTGCTGCTACAGGGATCGTCCTCATTCTTTAGGTTTATCCAAAAATTCGGGTTGCGTTTTGATAGAAGGTCGGCTACCGAAATCTCAGCGCAAAATTTTATAGCTCCGTTTGTTTTGGTCTCTACCTTCGATCCTTTCTCAGAATCTGCTGCGACTAGAGTGAATAGCAACTTTGTCGATTCCTTTGCATTCAGTGTCCATGAACATGTCCTAGAGCCCCATATTGGATCGCGAGTCCCCTCACTCGAAGGGGTCGATCCTATGATTTGATCCACTGCTGCACCTTCGCGATTGAGCACGCCGATGCGCACTCTTGTGCGATCAATAGGAAGGCTCTCTCCGCGCAAGACTCTCAGATTCATTGCTTCCAGTTCACCGTTCTCAGCTTCTGCCGCAATCGGATCAAACATCAGCATGGAACCGCGTAGATAAGAAGTTCCCAATTTGTTGTTGGTGTTTTCTTTTCTAGCGGCGCAGTGGTCGTTATTGGCAACAAGTTCTATTCCTGTTCCATCGACACGAGGCCGAATATCTACCTGTGGGGGTTCTTTCTCTGTGTCGTCCTCTTCTTTGAAGAAATTCACGCGGTTCCTTCTGCTGCTCGGCGATGACTCCTTTAGCGGCGATAAAATATATTCGCCTGCATTAACGATTGCTTCACCAGCCGATGAAAACGCCATGGTCGCACGGGTGGCTGCATCCTGGATAGGTGTCAAAAGATTCTCAACAGCCGATGTGCTAGTAGCGCTATCAAAATAGGTAATAACCTCAAACGCATTGTTTTTATTTTCTTCTTCTTTTGAAATCATTTTCGAAGAATTCTTTGTCGCACACCGCAATTGTGGGTTGTCGATGATTCGGTCTCTTCTACTGGCTGGAATTCTATCTCGTAGCCCTCATCGAACATCGTTATGTAGAAGGTGACCATAATTTTATGACGGAACGTGAGCTGTTGTGCCGGGCCTTTCTCCTCCCGGGAAGAATTACGCAGACGACAACTCTTGAAAGTGCATCGGGACAACCTAAACAGAGATTCCGAACCCCTTGGTATCCAGACCAAAAAATCTTCCATCCGAGCGAACCAGTTTTCAACGGAATGATAGTATTATCACTCTGTTTTCTACCGAAGTACGTCTTGCCATAGTCCTATCGATAGCGGTCTTTCCTAGTGGGAACTGTCGTTAAAAACAAATATTTCAACAAACGATCTAGCAATTAGAGCTACTAAGTACTACGGGCCCCATAATGGCAAGTTATTGGCAATCCCCGTACAAATACTAATAGAAATTTTTAGCTCATTTTTACAGTTAAAACCAATTAAAAAAGGCATCCAATGGACGAAAATAAAAATATTTCCATTGTTTAATTTCTTGCTAGTCCCAAAATATTTCTATTAGTGGTCCTTAATGTTGCAACGGATACGTACGTACTGTATTAAAAAGGATACGTACGTACACGATACGAAGCTCCGAAGAAAGGAATGAGGGATCATCCCATTCCTACGTATCTATCGTAAGGTACGCTTCCTATGTATGTATCATAGGATGCATMATAAGAGGACCGAACACGTAAGAGGTCCGAGGATCGTAAGAGGTCCATGATATCAGAAATAGAATACCTCGCACGGAACAAAGATGTCAGTAGATCAGAATAATAAGAAC